GCCACCGCCACTGAGCTCTCTTGTGGATCCTTAAAATAGTTTGCATTTCAATGGTTGTGGTAAAGCAGACAATAAAGGAGTAAATGTTTCGTTGTTTTATTACTGCAGCTGAACTGAGTCTYTAAAATTCTGTGTTTGTCAGAACAAAAAGCCATACCCCTATATTACCTACACCTTTTTATGTGAATGTGTAAAATGTAGTGGCAAAGCAAATGTGTTAAGAGGCTGAAATGGGATTTGTTTAGATATTTCACAAGGCTTTTTTCCTTTCTTGGAGTTAGGTTTATTTACAGTATAAATGGGTTTTGGAGACATGATGAGGCAAAGCTCAGTRTGTGATGCCCATGCAGAGATGCAACTAACAAAACTAAGGCCAAATCAAACACCTATCATCCTGAGCATAAAGACACTTGGACCTAAACAATAAACATAAGTATCTGATTTTTACAGACTTTTGAAAATAGTTAAGGAAATGTCCAAGTGAGGAGGATAAAGAGTGCTCAAACCAAATCTAAAGATTTTTATTTGTATGTTTATTCTCAACTACATCTTCACAAACTGAACCTTATTTATCTGGGATATTTAGGATTGTGTAGTGCTGTCATGGTTTGCATTAAGATTTGTAAAACCATGCAAGTTGAATTGTTTAACCTTCAGAGGCGTTTGGTTTGCAATCATTGAGCGTTATGGAAGTAAAGGTTTTACGGGTTGACGAGAATAAAGTCCTTTTTTTTCTTGCTGAAAACAAAAACTGTCTTTGAATTTGTAGAAAAGTGGCCAGTTGTTTCTCCATTTTGGAATGTTAGGATTATAAAAAGAAATAAAATTTCCCCCTCTAAGTTTAGAAGTTTGGGTTGTATTTTATTATTAGCGTATTTATGACCGTCCATAAATGATGCGAGCCATGTAGTGTTCAGACAGGGCTATTCTGGGCCGTATAAACCTGGTGATGTTGGAAAGTAAATACTGTTAATAGTTATTATTAATCTGACAGACCCCCTGCCTCTGCCAGCTCCTTCAGGTGATAATTGGCCCATAAAGACAAATATGTTCCTTAAGTAACAGCGTGAGCGAATTCCCCCGTTCTACGACCCGCTTTGTGAGAGCTGATTTATACGTTTTAATCGTGTTTGGCTCCGACTGCTCTGGCTGTCGCAGTCATAAAGTCTGCAAGAGGAAACTTTTAGCTTGTCTGATAGAAATAAGATAACTGAAGTGATGCAATGCAACATGCTTGATAAAAAGCAGGAACTTTATGATGGCTTCTTTTCATTTCCAGGAGACTTTGGCACAGTTCAAAGGCTGCACTCTATTTATTTTTTGGCATCAATGTCCTTCCCACATTTAAATAAAATTATTTGACTTGTTGTGGATGAGTTGTGTACTCATGCTTGTTTTTTTGTTTGTTTTCCATTTGTGATTTGTTTTATATTAACTGTCGTCATATTTCTTTAGTTATTGTGGATATTCAAATTTAGAATGCACAGCTCAAAGAAATAAAACATTTTATTACACAAAAACAAAAGGCTGATGTTGCGGTATAACTTATACAAATTTGAGGGATTGAAGGAGAATAAACACAGGGATAGGAGAGCAGAGCTTGTGTCATGGAGGCTAATAATGCTTCGCTGCGATGGTAGTGCTGGCTTGAAAAGGAGTTGGAGACACCTGAAATGATTACGGGCTGCAAACAGATGAAGGTGGCAAGACTGGCTGAGAAAAAAACATTGAGCAGTTGACAAGAGTGGATGAATGATGGCACAGAAGGGAAATGAAAACACAAATAAGTAAAACTGAACACATGAATCAGAGGTACTGAAAAACCGAATAAACCATAAAWGACTTGAAACTAAAAGCAAAGATCGTGACGCTCCACATGTCTTCAACTACAGAACTGAAGTCCAGCTGCTTCTTCTTTTTTCTTTTAATTTTCCATGTCCCAGATGACTGAGAATCCACAGAACTATATYGGTCTCAGACCGTATCAATGCTAAAGTTACTGTATCGATACTTTTACTTCCAGCACGTCGCTCCTGTTTCAAAAATAAAACGGTGTACCAGAGCAGCTGACCAGAGGCAGATTCAAATAAAAACAGTGAACTAAACAAGCAGGTCAGATAATTATTTAATTCGCTCTGATTGCTCAACAACTTCAGAATCAACATGCTAACATTCTGTATACAGACAGCTGAATGTGACGTCACAGCATTTTCTGTGCATGTGGGTCACATCAGAGCTGTGGAGAGTTCACACTGGAGTCTGATGGAGGTCACATTTAAAATATAATGTGTACATCCATGCAGAAATATCACATTTTTTGCAAAGCTTCGGAATCGAGCATTAAGACGTGCAGTGTGAAGCCTTCATTACGATGCTAAAAAGACAAAACATTACCARAACAGTGAGGTTATTTGATAGAAAATCAAATGGTAAATCAGTCCAAAATGTTCCTTTTAAAACTGCAGCTCTTTAAGTATTAAGAGAGGGTAAAAAGTATAATTTGCTTTGTCTATTTTTTTAATTATCAAAACATTCATCTTAAAAATACTAAAACAACTTTTATTTCAAGATTAACATTGACTAGGATACAGTTTGCTCTTCTAATAATATTTAATATTTCCTATGGATTCATAGTCACCTGTATTTGTGTTCACGTCCTTTGCTGACCATCTGTCAGTTGATTGTCTATAAATAAAAAAAGAGGAATGTACGACTCGTATTTGGAAGACTTTGACAAAAGCTTGTGTTATTGCCAATATCCTGTTTGTTTTTGGCWGCAGTGCGGATGGTGAGCCTCATTGTTTTGTACACAAGTCTATAAAATCCATTAGGTGTTTGTGCTGTGTGCCAGAACAACAGGAATTCATTAAAAATGTTACATATTATTCGCTTTATCTTTAAATGGAAAACAATGTTTGTTTCATAGCACGAGGTCTAATAGCTCAGACAATTCACATATGTTTAGAACTTGTTACATAAAATATGGATCGATACCTTGAGTTTTCTTTTTTACAATACAACTTTTTTCCTTTTAAATAATAATACAAGTGTCTCATGGTCCTGTGCTACAAAGACAGGAATCTCTGTCCATATTTTAAAGTTAAATAATCCGGTTTTCCTCTTTACTTAGAG